CCACCCCCGCACCCCGCCGGTCCTGGGGGCGAACGCCGGCCCTGGGAGGTTGGACACCTGGCGGCACGACCCCAGGCCAGCAGTTGTGGGGCCGGGACCGCTGCCCTCGGTCCCCGCCCCCTCCCCAGGTCTCTAGGCTGGAACCTCACAGCCTTGGTCCTTTTGACCTAAATTCACCCCGGGCCGCAGACGCTAGCTGTGCGTGCAGAGAGGTGCCTTCGCCGGCATCCTCTGCCTGACTGAGGACGCGGGGATGCCGGGCGCAGCCCCGCTCAACACTGGGTCTGGATGCCTGGGTTGCCTCCCGCTCCAGCCTTGACCTTTCCCTGGCTCCCCAGCTCCTGCACTGCCTAGTTTGGGAAGTAGGGCGTTTTCTCATCTTTGCCAGCCATCCTGGCTGCTCTCAGTTGGTGCTGAAGAGGATGCACCTCAGCCCTTCCTATGTCCCCCCATAAGGTTGGGGCAGGGGGCGTGGAGTTTGGGTGGGCGGAAACTCGGTGTGTCAGCAAGAGAGGGGCATGCTGGCCTCAGGGTGGGACATGCAGTGTCCACCTCCTTAGAGGCAACTTTTGCCTTCCTCAGCCTGGTAGTCCCCACAGCCCTAGGGGTAGAAACTTTGCCATAGAGCTGTGCCGTCCGTTCCTACTCCCCTCTCCTGGCTATGCTTGCCCTCCCGCGAAGAAGAGGACAGCTGTGTCCCCACAGGCATCTTTGTTCCTAGGGGAAGGCAGGGCCATAGGAAGGGGAGGGCTTTGGGAGAGTTAGACCTCTTCTCCAAGCCACCCCACAAAAACATGCAATTTAAGAATAAACAGTGGATATGCTATGCAAATGCAGCCTCTTGCTGAGCCCGAACCCTCCATTTAGATTGCTCTCACAAGCCCTTTCTATATAGAAAGCAGCCATTTGCAGAGAGCACACGACACATTTTTAAATAAAAAACTGCCACCATTTGATGGGCTCCTAAGTACGGTGCTGTGTGTTATTTGCATGATCTCATTTAATGTCTAAAAATATCCTATGAGGCTTGAGATTTTTATCCCCATTGTAGAGATGAGAAGATTGAGGCTTGAAATCATCCTGCAGTGTTGCTAGGAGTTAGCCCCATTTATGGAGGGGCTCAGAGAGGTTAAGTAACTTGCCCAGGGTCACACAGTGAACCCAGATATGTCAGGTCCTCGAGCCGTTGTACTTGATCATCTGTTCTAGAGCAGGGACTCTTGCCAGGCCACCCTCAGCTTCTTGAGGAGTCTAGATTTGTTTACCAAACCAGCCTGTGAGGACACAGATCCAAGCAGGCAACGTGGTGATGCTGATCAGCTTAGGCTTGTCTTTTTTCCCAGGTTGTTAATGGTCTGGTAGCCAAATATATTTACTTATAACTGTAGGTCTCATCAGGGTGGTCCCAACTTCCCGGCCAGTGTTTGGGAAAGTGTGGGGCGACTTTTGGTTTCAAAATGACGCTGAGCACGCCTGGTTTTGGGGAGCAGGAGCCTGTCCTCCAGGCAGGCCGGATCTTTGGCAGACATGAAGAACTGCCCTGTCTTAAACGCCAGGAGTACCCCTGTTGAGGAATTCTTGGAGGAATAAGTGTTGTGGGAATGAAGGGAGCAGAGGGCAGTGGGGGTTCTGGAGAAATCCCTTCTGCCTGTTGTCAGTCCAGGAGGCTCCCTGAAGGAGGTGTCATTTGTGCCGAGTCTTGAAGAATGGGCTAAAGAGTGGAGTTTGGATGGGAGGAGGAGGGGAGGGGGATAGGACAGCATGACCTAGCCCCTAGGAACACTTTCTGCAGTCTCCTTCATGGGCTGGTGGGTGGGGAGGCACCTCCCTCAGGAGGAAGGGATGGATGGGCCAGGTGGGGTGAGCCAAGCCTATTTTCTTGGCATTTGAACTCAAATTTTAACATGGACCACAGAGTTTCCTGTATTCCACCACGAACCCATTTTATGGAGGGGTTCAGGGAAGCTCAGTCATTTGTTTGGCGGTCACTGGTGACCGTCTCCCTGGCATGCCTTCCTCTTGTGGCTATGGGTAGCATATGGTTCCCATTTCCTTTCCCGATCCTGGAGATTTGGGGCAAACGCTATTTCAGATTTTCCTTTGGGTCAGAGGGCCTTGTATTGCTATTTCTTTGCAGATGTTTTGCTTTCCCAATAGCTCCTCTCTTTGGACCGGGTTAGAGAGGCCTGGCTCTGCAGGCTGCAGGAGCCTTTGCCTGCGTTTCTGTGCCTTCTTTCCCGGAAGTTGGGAAAATTTCCTTATGGAATGGGCTTTCCTTCTTTTGGGCTGTGCTAGTTACCCCACTGACCTGATAATAATATGGGGCCTTTTGTGTCTGGCTTCTTTCATGGAATATTTTCAAGGTTCCTACAAGCCGTAGAATATATCAGTGCTTTCTTTTTATGGCTGAGTAATACTCCTGTGGGTGGATGGACCACATTTTGTTTCTCCATTGGTTTTTTTCTACCATGAGGGCTTCTTAAGGCCACTTTATTCCTCTGCCTCCGCAGCCCCCAATTAATAAACCTCTGGGCATACGACATTATTTTGTCATTCCATTTGCAGGGAGAGGGTGATAGAAGAAAGATTCTCTGAAATCAATTGGGGATCAGCTTCCTGGAACCAGGTTTTGGGGACTACCTTAATTTCATCCCCACCTGCTCTTCCTCAGGAATCCTAGCTCCCTTCTAAGCCCATCACCCCCCGGGGGCAGTGCACAAGTATTACATAAGTATGATTTTTAGGGAGTCCCTTTTTAAAAAAAATTCTTTTTATTGATTTCGGAGAGTTAGGGAGAGGAGGTGAGAGATACAAACATCAAAGATGAGAGAGAATCATTGATCAGCTGCCTCCTGCACGCCCCCTACTGGGGATTGAGCCCACAACCCAGGCATGTGCCCTGACCGGGAATTGAGCCTCGACCTCCTGGTTCATAAGTCAATGCTCAACCACTGAGCCATGCCAGCCGAGCTTCAGGGAGTCTCAGTGTCACTTAGGTCCATTCTTTTCAGTCACCATGATATGTCTAGTGTAGGCCCCCAAGTCATTTCACTGGTGTATATTTTGGGACACTTTTTCCAGGTAAGTAAATACACAGAGTAAAGAAAGATCTGGGGCAAACGCTATTTCAGATTTTCCTTTGGTAGACCGTGCCCTAACTCAGTGGCCAGGGGTGGCGTCACCTCAGTCTCTCTTGATGCCCATTCAGGCAGCTGAGCATCCTGAAAACTGAGCTGGAGAAGCCCAGAAAAGACCAGCCCCTCCACCCCTCCCACTTTTGGGGGGGCCTTAACTATGAGCCAAGCTGTATGCTGGGCACTTTCATATAGAACAGGGGTGGGGAACCTTTTTTCTGTCAAGGGCCATTTGGATATTTATAACGTCATTTGCGGGTCATACAAAATTATCAACTTAAAACTTAGTCTGTTATATTTGGTCAAACATTTCATTGACTCACCCCTCATGCCTTGGCAGGGCCAGACCAAATGATTTGCGGGGCCGGACGTTCCCCACGCCTGATATAGAAGATCGACTGGACAGCTACCCTCAAGGTAGGCCGCATTAGCTCCATTTTACTGGTGAGAAAATTAAGACTCAGGTCCCTGGAGATCTGTATGGTTTCCTGACAGGCTCTCTTGACCTGGTCATGCTGGCAAAGGTTGCCCATTTTCTCATGGAGTGGACGTCGCCTCCTCCAGGAGGTTATGCATAGAAATAATTTCCGAACGGTTTTGCTCTCTGAAAAAATAAGAGTTTGAACGAGTAGTTTTTTCCTTCGTCCCTGATTGGATCCCTTCCTCAACAAAATGAAAGAAACATAAGAAGGCATATTTAAAAGGAGGTGAGTGGGTGAGTCTTCGGAGGGAAGACCCACCCTTTGCTCTGGCATTCCCTGCTGGGTGATGTTAATGACCAAAATGAGGAAGGAATGATTTTCACCGCTGATGTTTTCAGTTTCAGCGCGTTTGTGTTTGTAGTGTTGCCGATGAATTTTTTTTTTTGATTCAATGATGAAACATTTTAAGCACAGAGAAAAGCCAAAGTTTTGTGTTGTTGACTGGCTTGTGTTTTTGGAAGGCTGGACGGAGGCCCAGTAGTTGATGGAAAGAGGGCAGAACAGGTTACTGGCACTGAAGCTCTGGTGAGCTTCCACGGAACCAACCAGCACTTCTGGGGGCTGGTGACAAGCTCTGCCCTGGGAACTGAGGAAGGTGGGGGCTCGGTCTCTGTCCCCAAGGAGCTCCCAGGTGAGTGGTCTGAACGGCTGGGGAGTGCTTTGGAAGAGATAAAGGAGTCTAGCATTTTCCATTTTGAAAAACAAAGAAAATCCCAAGAGTCTGTGGTGCCCCCACCCCCACCCCCACCCCACCCCATCCTGAAAGCTGTTGGGAAACTATTTTTATGTTGTCTGTTTTTATCCTGTTGGCTTCTGTAAATAGTGGCGAGATGGCAGTGGGAGAGAGAAACATGCTAATTGCAAATTTAAGGGGAGAGAAGGACTGTCCCCTAAGGAAATGAGAGGTAGGGGCGCTGGGAGGCCAAAGTCTTTGTGGCTGGGACACAGGTAGGAAGCAAGCGGGCAGGAAGGGGCATTGTGGGTGGTGCCTGAGATAAGCCTCTGCTGCCGGAGTTTAAATGGGGAACCAGTGGTTTGAGTGGGGGGCAGGGTGTTGGGGGAAGGACACCTCCCTTATGCTTTCTTAAAGGTGCTTGGGGGTTTTACCTTCAGTACATCTGGCGGAAATTTTCACGTAGATTCATCCCAGGCAGTTCTCCCACCCTTTAGGTCCAGGTGTGGAGGACAGGGTTCTGGACCCCAGAGCCGCTCCCAGCTCCTCTTTGCCCCTGGCTGGGGTTGCTTTGTGCTGGAGGCTGGGGAAGGAGAGAGGAGAAGCTAGATTGAACATCGCCCCCAAAAGCAGGGAAGAGGGAGGGAGGAGGGCCATGGGTGGGCAGGGTGCCGATGCCTGTGGATTTCTGTGGCTTCTGAGTTGGCCCCCTCTGTCTCTGATTTGCTAAGCTGCAGCATGTTAGAGTCGAAGTCTTTTTCTTCTCATTACAAATTGCAATTCCAGTCTTGCTGCCTCTTGTTTTGGGCCAGTGAAAGATTGGGAGGGATTCAATGAGAGAAGAGGAAGGAAGGGAGGGAGGGAGGGAAGGAGGGAGGTGGTTCCTACCTCCCTTTTCCAAATACCCCCACCCCACATTCATACTTCCTCACTCTTCAAGGCCACCAGTACACACCTGTCTTTAGATACCTGGCTGCTTGATTGGGGTCCCTCTCCGTGGTGGTGCTTCATCATTGACTGAACAGTAGCTGCCTAGCAACTCGTAGGACAGCTGACCTTCTTGCTCTGTAAGCATCCAGGGCTGCAGGGAACGAGGGCTTCAGGGGTCAGGACACCTGGTTCTTGTTCTGGCCCAGCCCGGAACCTGCTCAGCTGCCTCGGAGAGGTCATTTCACCTTGCTGGGTCGCAGCAACCCCATCTGCAGCCCTGGCGTGCTGATCCTGAAAGCTGAGAGAGCGTGCAGATTGTTATGACACAAACGAGCAAGGATGTGAAATGATATTGTAATTACATTAATTTTGTGAGAAAGTGATGCCTGTGGACAACAGAGGGGAAGATGAAGAGTTAAGTTAGTATGGTGGGATTAGAGATAAAACATTTTTGTTGTAATATAAAATAAAACCAATTGAGGGGCTTGAACTTGATAGCCACTGAAGTGCTTTCTTGGCAACAGCTCCCATTTGGGGAGCGTATACTGTGTGCAGGGGCCTGTGTCCTGGGTGAGGTGGGTATTGTCCCCAAGGTCACATGACTAAGAAGAGGGGTTCTGCTGAGCCTGGTCACAAAGTTCTACCTCTCTAGGAGCCTTTGATTTCTCCCAAAGCACTGTGTGATTGTGGGCAAGTCACTCAGACTCTCTGTGCCATCACCAGTGAAATAGGCATGATACAGTACCTAACTCATAAAGTTGTTGTGATGATTAAATGAGATGATACATGCAGAGTGCTTAGAATAGCACCTGGCACTTGGCAAGCACTCAAGAAGGCTAGCCATGACTCTTACTGCATCCACAACTACCATAGCAGCTGCTACAGTGGTGCAGTTCTTGTGTTGGAAAGTGCTGGTTAGTTTCTTCTCTTCACTCTGTCCTGTTCATCAGTCCTTCCCCATCCTTGATTTAATTTATTTATTTTTTTAAGATTGAAGAGAGAGAGAGAGAGAGAGGAAGAGAGAGAGAGACTTTGGAACTACTGGTTGAGGTGAAGGCTATCTTGTAGTTACCTGGCAATTTGGCCTGGTTGGGAGCCTTAAGGTGTAGAGAACTGATTGATCATCTGGCAGGGAGCTTAGTAAAGAAGTTTTGTTTAAAAGAAGGAAAGAAAGGAAAGAAAGGAAAGAAAGGAAAGAAAGGAAGAAAGAAAGAAAGAAAGAGAGAAAGAAAGAGAGAGAAAGGGAGAAAGGGAGGAAGGGAGGAAGGGAGAGAGAAAAAGAGAGAGGGAAGGAGGGAGGGAGGAAAGAAAGAAAGAAAGAGAGAGAAAGAAAGAGAGAGAGAAAGAGGGAAAGGAGGGAGGGAAGGGAAAGAAAGGTGTTTTAATCCTCATCCAAGGATATGTTTTCTTATTGATTTTAGAGTGAGAGGAAGGGAGAGAGGGAGAGAAACATGTATGTGAGAGAGAAACATTGATTGGTTGCCTCCCCTACGGGGGATTGAACCTGCAACCTTTTGGTATATGGGATAATGCAGCAACCAACTGAACCACCTGGCCAGGGTGTGAAGCAGCTTTTCTGTCAATCCTTCCTGTGTCATCTGTCAGTCAGGATACTTGGTTGTAAGTGACAGAAAACGGATCCCAAACTAACCTACGCAAAAATGGGAGTTTATTGAGTCATGTAGTTACAAACTCCTGTGGTATATAGGCTTCAGGCATGGCTGGATCCAGGTACCCAAACAATTATCTCCTATCTCAGTTCTTCTCTATCTGTTGCCTCTCTTCCCTCTCAGTCAACTTCATTCTAAGGCCAGGTTCTCCTCAACCCCTGAAACTCTAGAAGTATATCCTCATTGCGCTAAGTTCCACAGAAAGAGACATTCTTTTTTTTCTTTTTATTAATATTTCTACAAAAACCTTAAAATTAGAGTTGGTAGACTGACTTGGTTCAGACACCTACTCTTGCATCAGTCACTTGACCAGAGCAGTTGATGCCCAGTTGACCAGGCTTGAGTCATACAGGAACCACTGAAGCTGATGGTGCAGATAGCTCCAGGGAGTGACCTTTCACACGAAAGGATGGGTTTCCAGACAGAAACCAGGCCACTGTTATCAGACTAGAGGCGCATAGGCCAGCTAAAGAAAGCTTCTGACTTTCTGACTGGCCTTGGGATGCATGAAACAAACAATGACCTCTTGCCAATATTTATTGAGTGCCAATAATAATCTAGGAAGTTTTAGAACATGGAGTTCATCAATAAACAAGAGAGGCAAAGCCACAGTTCTCCTAAGTGACGTCAGATCAGTGTCTCCATGCCCAGACCCTGTTCATTGCTTTCCGAGCACCGTGAGACGCGGTGCCTCGGCCCTCTCCCCTCACACAGGCCGTGGTCTCAGGAAGGCAGAAGACTGGGCTCCCGCGATGAGAGATTTTGGCCCAGCCTGGTCACAGTATGTGGATATTGCAAGACTGCACCAGTAATTTTCAGTCCCTTCCTGGAGAACTCAGAGCAGTTTTAGCTCTGCCTAGTACCTCTGTGTGACTTTGGGCAAGTCATTATACTTTCTGGGCCTTCATTTTCTCTTGGGTGAGATGAAATGGTTGGAGCAGGTGACCACCGATCCCTGGTCTGGGAGGCAACTAATCAATATCTCTTTCACATGGATGTGTCTCTCTTTCTGTCCCTCTCCCTCACCCTCTCCCTTCCTCTATCTCTAAAATCAATTTTTTAAAAAAAGTAAGTCTGTTTTGTTTGTCCAACACATAGTAGATTCTCAATAATTACTTGATGAGAGAACCTATGGGTGAGTGACTTTTCTTTAGGACCTCCCTGGGCCTCAGTTTCCCCACATGAGAGAGGATATGGCTAGCCATGCCTGCTACCCCAGGAAGGATGTCATCCCTGGCTTTGGGGGCCCTGCACTGTGTGTGTGTGTGTGTGTCTCCCCGGCAAGACCTTGGCACCCTCGCTGGCTGCTTGCTGCGTTGTGGCTCCCGTGGAGGCCTCTGCATTCAGTGAACAGGTGCAGGTTGGAAACGGCCTCCAGGAAATGGGACTGTGCTTCCTGGCAGAGGAAGGAGCGCTTCCCTCCATCCTGGCCCTGAGCCTGGGTTCATCTGCTCCAGGGAGAGTCCGGTTGCTCAATTGTGCTGCCCTGTGAGAGGGCAGGGGAGCTCGGGGCTGGCCGCCAAGGGCGGTGAGGAAGGCCTTCGGGGCTGGGGGAGGGACCCGGGGTTGGGGCAGGAGGCTCAGGGGAGAGGCCTCTTGGCATTTTGTCCAACCTTAGCATCTATGCAGAGAGGTCCTCTTACAATGGGGCCCTGAAATCGA